CTTCCTAACATGATCACAACAGCTTTCCTGCACCACACACTCCTGGGAGCACACACACAGGCACACACAAACACAGGCACACACCCCAGCTAGGTGACGGATCAGCACTGAGAGCAGCACTGGGCAGCTCTGAGCAACAGGGAGTAAAGGACTACATGCTTTTACTAACTTCACTAGCATCCTGAAAAACCTAAAATTAACAAGATTTTGCTTTATTCTCTTCTTTTATGTGACATCACCTCTTCTGCCACACATTCTGTTTAAGGAAGTGAAAACTTACCATCCTTTTTTGCTGATGCTACAGAGTGGATTTAGTGGGTAAGGAGCAGGCTCACAGAAGTGTCATGAATTTGTTTATCCGGTTTCAGTGAGATGGACTTAACGAATGGGATTTTCTTCGTGCGTGTGCCGAAGGATGGAGAATATTACTACTGAGGGAATGTGATTGGGAGCATCTTAAGCATCATGGCTGTTTGTTCTTTGTGAGTTGGTTCATCTGTGCTGGTATGGGATCATTACTCTATGTGTGGGCAACGCAAGTCAGCAAGTGCCAAGAGAATGCAAATAGCTGACTACATCTCGGGTCCTTGCAGCACAGAGTTCAGTAACTCCTGCAGAGCTTTGGCCGGTGATACTAACAAGAAACCCTCAAGTCCTGCGCTTAGAGTGCAAGAACCAAAGAGCAGTCACAGACAGGCTTGTTTGTCACACACAGCAATTGCCCCAAAACATGCCCATCCTGGGCACCTGCCATGTCTGTATCCCCAGGCACATGAGTAAAAGACATCATCTCTGCCCTATACATCATGTGTCTCTCTGCTGGTATCATGGGGCAGCAGGAGTGGTGGTGGTGCCACTGACAGGCAGGGATAGGTGCTCTGGGAACGTACAGGGACATCTTTCCTTTCAGTTCCCAGCCTTTAGAGCTGTCTCCAAGAGACTCGGAGTGGAGGTTTGACCTCCTGCATGCTGGAGAAGCAAGCTTCCAGGCATAGCTGAAGCCAAGTCCCCAAGGAGACTATCACTGGCACCTGCATCTGTGTTAGCAGTTCCAAAGCCTTTCCTATACCCAGTGCTTAGTAGGCAACTTCCACTCTGAAAACCAAGGTAAGAAAGAAAGGGGAACTGGGAAACCACAATCTGTGTGTTGCTTTTCACGTGCCATGGGTGCAGCATACAATGGGGACTTGTCCCGGTCTGCTCGGGTTCAAGGTGAAATCCATACTGCTCCAACACGGTGCGGTGAACAAAACCCAAGGATTTAGAATCAGATCTGCCCTATAGGTCTAGGAGTCTCAAATAGTGGTCATTGAACTTAAGAAGGTACTCATTTTCTTATTTATGTCTCATTTCTCTCAACTGTGAGATCTGACAATTCTAAATTCTGAATCCCATGGTTATTGGTCGGTGAGCAAGGCCATTTCCAAACTGGCTGACTAAGAATTCTCATTGTTATCTATGATGGTGTTTCTTTCAGGCATTTTTCCAAGAGTTTAATGCCTGCAAGGTGACATCACACACGTTGTTTCAGCTGCTCCAGGACTGTGGGTATGTTCTCCTTTTGCTTTTGCTCAAGTTCTAGGTCTACCCAACCAAGCAACCAGGCATCATCACCCTGTGCTTCCCCCTGCCTTCTCTAGTTCTTCCCAATTTTTTATTTTTTTTTAAATACAAGACATCATAATAGTGGCTAGAACATTAAGGATGTAATTTTCAAAACCCTTAATATGATTTGTTCAAATATAAGCACAGTCATATAATCTCTGTATTTCTACTATATTTAAATCTTATTTGTATTCAGTATGAATATAAGATATTTATTTGAAGTATACATTGATATATACTTTAATTCTCTAGGCTTATTTGTGCTTAGTTCTTCTATTTCAGAAGCTTGTATATCGGCTGCTCCACTTTCCCATCCAGCTCCCTGCTTGTGGCCTGGGAAAGCAGTTGAGGATGGCCCAAAGCCTTGGGACCCTGCACCCACGTGGGAGACCTGGAAGAGGTTCCTGGTTCCTGGCTTCGGATCAGCACAGTACTGGCTGTTGCACTCACTTGGGGAGTGAATCATCAGAGGGAAGATCTTCCTCTCTGTCTCTCCTCCTCTCTGTATATCTGCCTTTCCAATAATAATTTTTAAAACTTAAAAAAAAAAGAAATACAAGAAGAACAATATGTACCTGTGGAGAAAACATGTGTTTCCTAAATTTTATTCACGTATTTGTGCATGTGTTATAGTGCTTTTGGCTGGGCCTTTGATGTTAATGTATTAACGATATGCACTAAGTAAAGCATATTAAAACACACATAAAATACAGTGGTTTTAATTTTGCTTACTGAAGTATATTGATCCACTGGTATCTGTTTCTTTTATGTGTATTAGTTGTGGATTACATCATCCTAACCAAAGGCTCAGCAGGAAGCTACCTCCCAGTTCTCCCAGGAACTCTGTGTGTGTGTGTGTGTGTGTGTGTGTGTGTGTGTGTGTGTGTGTGTGTGTGTGTGTGTGTGTGTGTGTAGTGATGTTGTAGAGCAAAGCGACTGGAATGACAAGCATCAGCTGCACATGCAAACCCACGCACACGTCCCACAGATTCTGTGAGCAAGAGAGACAAGAGTTACTCTAGGATTCCATTCATCTCCAGTTAAAAGAACAGGCAAATCTCTTCTACAGAGGACAGGACAGAAATTCCTTCTGGGGCGTCTGTGATCAGGAAACACTGAAAATATTCCTTGTGTTGTAGGAAGCTTTCTGTATTTGAGCTGTGGCTTTGAAATTTAAAATGGAATTGGTGAGAATCGGTGTCGGTAAACTGGTTCTTCCCATCTTACTTGGGGTTTGCGAGCTGCACTGCCTCGTGACAGCCGTACGGTGGCAGTGTTGTAAACATGACCCAAATGAGTGCTTTAAAAGTAAGTTTCCTTTCTGTCCTGCTAGCAGCCTCTTGGGCTCTGATTGAGTCTTGCATTCTCTTTCTAAGGAATCTCTACCTCTCACCAACGGCTCCTGTGACTCAGTGGAAACAGCATCCTAAGGTGAGGGCCGCACAGCCGCAAGACTGGCCCAGTGGAGCATACCTGAGGTCTCTAACCCTTCCTCCATCCTTTTTCAATTCCCTCCAAGCTCGCCCCGAGGGGAAGAACTTTTTGTTCCCGTTCCAGTCCCAGCTTCTCAGAAGCTGAGCAGCAGGAAGACAGAGCCCCTCTGGGGCTGTTCCCCATGCGCTAGCGATCTGTGTCTGAAGCTGAGGTGCTCTGGCCTTGGTAGCTGTCTCAGAACGTGATCTGCCCATGGCCAAGCCTGGGACAGTATTGAGTGCAAAACGGGGCAGGTGCTGTGGCACCGCAGGTAAAGCCACTGCCTGCAGCACCGGCATTTCCAAAAGGGTACCAGCTGGTTGTTTCCAGACTGCTCCACTTTTGAATCTAACTCCTGCTAATGGCTGTGAAAGACAAATGGAGTGGATTGTGGCATTCACTGCTGCTAAAAGACATGTAGAATTGTAAGACATTGGGCCCAACACGGTAGCTTAGTGGCTGAAACTCCTCGCCTTGAATGCACTGGGATCCCATATGGACACCAGTTCTAATCCCGGCGGCCCTGCTTTCCCATCCAGCTTCCTGCTTGCAGCCTGGGAAAGCAGTCGAGGATGGCCCAAAGCCTTGGGACCCTGCACCCAGAAGAGGCTCCAGGTTCCTGGTTTTGGATCTGCTCAGCTCCAGCTGTTGCTGCTGCTTGGGGAGTGAATCATTGGACAGAAGATCTTTCTCTCTGTCTCTCCTCCTCTCCGTATATCTGACTTTGCAATAAAAATAAATAAATCTTAAAAAAAAAAAAAGAATTGTAAGACATTGTGTGACTGGTCCCACCCACCACAAAACACTTGCCAAACAGACAAAGCAAGACGTTAATAGCTGAAGGCGCTGTTATAACAAACATCTAGACCGAAGTCTCAAAGGTTTTTTATATTTAAGATGGACAAACTATATATTCAAGAGCTATTTCCTTAAAAGGCGGAGACAATAAAGAGGAAGAAAACTCAAGTTGTTTGAGGAAATTAACTTTAGAATAGGTCACTGCCTCCGTAATCTAAACAGGTGTGGTGACCTGGCCCTGGCGTTCAGCTACACTGGACACCCTGGAGCCCATCCAAGCAGCAGCTCCTCCCCCAGTCTCCTTTCTCTTAGGGCCCTGTTCGAGCGTCACCCACTCTGACCAACGTTTCACATAGCACGCCAGTCCCGCCCTCCTCCGCGACCTTTATTGTAATGACCACTTTCCTGATACTGCGTTACACATTTGTTTATTTTTTTATTGCCTCACACTTGCGTTGCAATAAGAGCTTTATGAACTAGCAGGGCAGCTCGCTGGTTGGTCTAGGATCTGCACAAATACATCACTTACCCACATCAATGTTGATTAATGAAAGTGCCAGAACTAGTCCGGCCCGTCCAGAAGCATGTCCAACAGCAAGCACAGCGTGACAGAAGAAGAAGAAAAGTGGGTGAACTGATTAAAAATTGCCCCCAAACCAATTTATGCGTCAGGAAATACTTGTGTATCATGTGTAATTCATTAACAACAAAAAAAAATCCTCTAGAGACCCAAGTAAATGAAGCTCCTGGGGAATAGTCTGCTCCCCACTTTTCCAGCGAGGCGTGTGATACCACAGCTCCTGCTGCCCTCTGCGCGCCGGCCACCTTCTGGGGAGCCCCAGCCTACAGGCTGAGCGCACCCTCCCTTTTTCATAAAATGTATTCTTGTCGCTATTTGATTGGCTGTACGCCCAGATTCTCCTTCTTCATTGGTCTGTCCAGCAGTCTGTCATTCCTAGACCCAAGCAGTCCATTGGTCCGCTGGAGCAAACCGCCCACTGCAGGGCGTAGTCACGGAGGAGCAGTTCCCCCCTGACGCCAAAGGCGCTCCCCTCCCACATTCCAAAGACTAGGCCGACTCTTCCCTCTGGCCCTGCTTGGTGGGCGGGAAAGAGAGCAGAGAAAGACTTCTGATTGGATCCTGCGGACAAAACCGGCATCCGATTGGTCACTGCTCTGGAAGGAGGTGGGGTCGCAGCTGGGTGCTGAAGCAAAGCTGAGAAGCCCAGGCGAGTCTCAAAGTTTGTGTCTGGAGCAGTCGTGGAGCCGGGGGCTTATCGCGAAGTAGTTTTCTTGGGATGGGAGTTCATCTCCTGTCTCTCCTCTGCATACACGTCCTGTTTTAGCTCCTGCGGCCTCCCGCCCGATTCCCGGGCGCTCTGTGTTCCCCCGAGAGTCTCTCAGGTCCGGGAGGACGCGGGTCGGGGGCCCTGGGCGGCTTGCCGCTGAGGCGCCGGAGTGAAGGTGTTCCTGCCTCGGCGCGTCAGGGACACACACACACACACACACACACGCCCCGAGGGAGCGGGATCCTGCGGGTGCCAGGCGGCCCTGCCCCTCTCCCCGCCCGCCCTCAGCATCCTCGGCCCTGCGCGATTCCGACCACCATGGAGGTGCTGGAGAGCGGGGAGCAGAGCGTCCTGCAGTGGGACCGCAAGCTGAGCGAGCTGTCAGAGCCCGGGGACAGCGAGGCCCTCATGTACCACACGGTGAGCGCCCGGCACCCCGGGACCTGGGAGCCGGGAGGGGAGTTTGGGGGGCGGGGTGGGGGGTAGAGGTCCGCAGGTCCTCTCCTGGTGTAGTAGCTTTTCTGTCGAAGCCAAGCAAGCCTGGCAGTGGCCCTTCAACTTTCCCTAAGGATAATAACGCTTTGTGTTCCTGGAGCGATTTGTACCTGCCCCATCCTCAGCCTATTTCTTATCTGTCATATCCTTTCGGATTGCTAAGAGTCCTGTAATGCAGGCGGAGGGGTTTGTGTGGCGAATGTCGTGTCGTTGGTTTTTGTGGGAAGGCTGTTAAATACTGGACTAGACAATGCAGCACTTTCATCCGTTTCATAGTGTCTCTCCTTCTTTTGCTCTCTTATTTACATTGAAAACTTTTTTTTTTTTTAAGTACTGTGTATTGAAAAGCTTTCTGCCTGTGAGGAGGCAGGCTGCCTCATGTGGTTTCTTGAATTGTGCACCCAAAGAAGTCAGCTTTCCCTGGCTTAGGAGGTCAGACCAGCAGGGGAGTGTGGAAAATGTGAGGTAGCTGCATATTTGAGGAAGGCTCTGGGGAAGCATGGACAGCTCACCGGCTCCTCTGTGCCGCGTTCAGCCATATGCCTCTGTGAAGTCTTGAGAGAGAGAGAGAGAGAGAGAGAGAGAGAGAGAGAGAAACACGCAAGTGAGAAAAGAGAGCCTTGGCTTATTCCCTTTCAAGGTTCTTTTAATGGGGTCAGTACCAGGATATTTGAAACTTTTGCAAAATGGCCTGCAGGCTCCACCTCTCTGGCATTTGCCTCTAGCTGACGTTATTTTGGGAAAAGTGATGAGAGCCTCTTTGCTAACTCCCACCAGAGTGTGTGTGTGCGTGCGTGTACCGTGGTTGGGGGTGGCTTGTTTTAAAAGTACAGAGTGGAGGGCTTGGAGGGAGTGATGGTTCATGAAGGGCAAAAGCCAGGTGTTGCGTGTGAGCCTGCGGTTTTGCCCAGGGAGCCTGTGCCCAGGAGGCTCGGGCTACACTTGAATTAAATGCACCAATGCACTTTCTGTCCTGGGTAAAGAACTTGGAGCACGTTGGCCTTCAGCTGTTTCTACTGAAATTGGCTACCTTTTAGCCATGTACGTAAGGAGGGGCAGCTCTTCTGGTGTTCCTAAATGTGTGGTTCATTTGCTGTGAAGGTGTCTCAAAGAGCAGTTGTCATGTCATGGCTTTGGGTGGTCTTTGAGTTGGTGGAATGAATTAGAAACAGGTGTTGGCCTTGCCCTTCGTGGCTCCCATGGCTTGCTTGCATGTGTGAGCTGACAGGCAGAATCAGAGATGCCACCTGGGACGGTGGCATTGCCTCCACGAAGGACAGTGTGGGCTGGCTCTAGTGTCCTTATACATGGTTTAGGAATATCAACTGTTGCTTCTCTTGATATTAGTAGTTTATTTTCTCTATGATCGTGTGATAAAGTAGTTGCATACGACATTTTCCTCCTAATCCTGTTTTAGAATAATAAGTGTGATGTTCCCCATGGAGTGATGTGCCTCATTTCTGAACAGCACTCTCAATAAAATGCCACTCATCATTGCAACAAACTGTGTATATGAATAAGTGGTGAGAGAGGGGATTGGGTTTAGTAGCATAGATTGGATTTGATTACTTGGAAATAAGGGGAGTCTGGCAGAGATGTGAAAGCAGAGAGCTTTGCTGCTGGGGATCCAGTTGCAGAGTTATTATTTCCACTGGTCTGTAATGTGGGATGGCCTGACCTCCTGTTGAATTTCCATATGGAAACACAGTGGCCTGAGTATGCATTCACTCAAGAACATTCTTTGTTCTTTCAATTAGTATTTATCACATATTTCCATCTGCCAAACAGTAGGCATACATAAAAGGACAAAGGCAGACAAAATTGCCTGACTTCCAGTTTATTTTCTTGTGTATGTGTGTGCAGGAGAAAATGAACAGTAACTGGGAAATAGAATGAAGAAGTACATGATGTGACACATCATGCAAAATAAGAGCAATGGAAAACATCAAAGTCAAACAGGATAAAGAGGGGCTAGAGACTACAAGATGGAAGAAGGGCAAAATGTGGTATTGAATTCCGTCATCATGGTAGTCTTTCCATAGAAAATGGGGCTGCGATGGCCAAGGGAGGGTTGAAGTGAAGTGCCTGCTGTACCTGCTGGCTTTCAAGATTTGTAATAGCTAGAGTCAGGAGTCAGGAATTAAACTCAGGTACCCTAATGTGAGTGCAGACATCTTAGTTTCCTAACAACTAGGCCAGACGCCCACCCTGAACAAAGATTTCAAAGAAGTGAGGGTGTTAACAGACTGAGAGCCAGAGCAAAGGCTTATGCCTAAAGCAACATCTTGTGTGTGAGAGCACCCATTTTGGGGTGTATTCTTTTCTGTGTAAATGCGGCTTACATCTGAGACGGTGAGGCCTGTTTGTGGAATGATCCAGTGAAACATTTGTTTTTTAAGATTTACTTATTTTTATTTGAAGGAGAGAGAGAATGAGAGAGAGAGAGAGAGAGAGAAACACTTCTATCCATTGGCATCCATGCCCCAAATGGTTGCAATGGCCAGAGCTGAGCTGAGCTTCTTCTGGGCTACAGCATCCTAAAGGCTTTGGGCCATCCTCTGCTGCTTTCCCAGGCCATAAGCAGGGATCAAGATCGGAAGTGGAGCAGCTGGGACATGAACTGGCACCCATATGGAATACCGGCATCACAGGGCAGAGGGTTAGTGTGCTGTGCCACTCCAACGCAATGAAACTTTCCAGGTATTGTAGGTTGGGCCTTTGACATGGAGAACAGAGCCTGCAGGGGTGGTGGGGTACACATAGATGTTGAGAAGGTGGTAAGAGATGATGAAGTTACTAACTGTTCAACATTTGCTCCTGGCTAGAGTCATTGCCTGCACACTCCTGCTCACTGGGCGCACCCATCGAGCTCACGTTTGGTTGGATGTGTTACTCTTACCTTGGAATTCTTACTTTTAAATGGAAGAGCCTCATATTTTCATTTTTGATTGAGTCCCAAGGATTATTTAGCTGGTGCTGCTATAAGATATTATGTTTAGCGTTTTATAAAAAGTGTGATATTTTTGTTCTTTTTAAAGATTTTTATTTATTTGAGGGGCCAAGTTGCTAAGCAAGAGGGGAGAAAAATAGTGAGAGATCGATTTTACCCATTGGGTCACTCCCTAAATAGTTGCATTACACTAGGCTGTAACTGGGAGCCTGGAACTCCATCCTTGTCTGCCACGTGGGTGGCGGGAGCCTAGGAATGCTTTTCCCAGGCACATTAACAGGGAGCTGGATTGGAAGTGGAGCAACTAGAACTACAACCAGCTCTCGTATGGGATGCTGATGTCACCGGTGGTAACTTAACCCACCATGCCACAACGCTGGTACCAGAATTAGAATTTAACCTCTTCAATTCAGTCTAAGAGTCATCTTTATTACTCCAATTTTATGTAAGAAAACCAAGGCTTAATAATTTTGAGCGCCTTAACTAGGGTCTCCTAGCTAACTAGTGGCAAAAATCAAGGCTCAAACCCAAATCTGCCTGTTTCCAAAGCCAGAATTTGGTTTTTGAAAAATAAATTTGTTTTGGGCCTGGCACAGAAGCCTCGTGACTAACGTCCTTGCCTTGAACACCAGGATTTGCACTGGTTCTAATCCCAGCAGCCTTGCTTCCCATCCAGCTCCTTGCCTGTGGCCTGGGAAAGCAGTCGAGGATGGCCCAAAGCCTTGGGACCCTGCACCCGCGTGGGAGACTCGGAAGAGGCTCCCGCCTCCTGGTTTTGGATCAGTGCAGTTTAGGGAGTGAATCAATGGACCGAAGATTTTCTTTTCTGTCTTTCTTCTCTCTGTATATCTGACTTTCCAATAAAAAATAAATAAAATAAATCTTTCTAAAAAAGATTTACTTGTTTTTATTGGAAAGGCAAACTGACAGAAAGATCTTCCATCAGTTGAACTACAATGGCTGGAGTTGAGCCAATCCGAAGCCAGGAGCTGACAGCTTTTTCTGGGTCTTCCACCTGGATACAGGGTCCCAAGATTCAAAGCCAGAATTCTCGCCCATCTTGTATGAAGGAGGAATCCTGACTTATAGGAACCAGTGGAGAGTTTGGAAGAGGGTGATGGGGCCCCGAAACAGCTGAGTCTCAGAGCAGCTGATGTCCGAGGTGTGGCAGCCTCGGCCCGTCCCCCGTGATCACCCTCCTCACTTGAAATAGGGATTTAGTTATCACATGCTTTAGTGCTGACTCTGTGCTTTAGCAAACCTGTCAAATAAGCTGTTTTAAAAAGCTAGAATAATTTTTTTTTAAATCTCTGAGGCTGGGATCGTGATGTTTTTCAGGAGCCCCCTGGGAGCTGTCAGGAGCCATGCTTTTCTCATTGGTTGGTTAAAGTGGCTTCTTGGTTCAGGACAGGGACCTTCAGGAAACAGGTCCTTACTATAAAATAATGACGCACGTGGTTAGTGAATATGAACATGCTCCTTGGAAACTGAATTAGTAAAGCTCTGAGCTGTTTCCTCCTGCAAGCACCGGCATCCTGTGTGGACACTGTTTCCCATCCTGGTTAATCCACCTTGCCATTCAGCTCCTTCCCTGTTGCCTGGGCAAGTAGCAGAGTATGGGCCAAAGACTTGGGACCCTGCACCCAAGTGGAAGACCGTGGGGGAAGTTCTTAGGTCCTGACTTCAGATCAGCTCAGCTTTGGCTGTTGCAGTCATTTGGAGATTGAACCAGCAGATGGAAGATTTTTCTGTCTCCTCTTCTCTCTAGAAATATGCCTTTCCAATAAAAATAAGTCTTTAAAAAAATAGTTTGGGTAAAGAGGATGGAATATTGTTTTAATTCACTGAGTAATTCACTGAAGAAGTTGTTTCAAACAAAGGCTAAATGCAGTTTCAGAAAAGATGTCAGACATAAAAGAGTGAAAAGTGAAGCCTGGACGCGGGGCTCGTCAGACTATCACGCTGTGTGCGTGTG